AAGATTCGTTACAAAAATTGATTTAAAAATAAAAATTCTAATGATTGGGAAATATATAAAGAGGCCAGCAAGGAGTCTAAGAAGAGGTGTCAAAATTTGACCCGACATGAAAACCCACCCAAACTCGACCTAGAAAATTTCAGGTTTATGTTAACTTGTTTTCCATACAGGTCGAGTTTGGGTTTGAGATTCCGACCTGTTTAAAAAATTGGGTTTGGTTCGGGTTGACCCGGAAACACGAAATGACCTGATGCCCCCGGACTCCCCTTCTGCAATGCGATCTATCCCATTTCCAGACTCTGTATCTTCGCCCTCCGCATTGCATCGGCTTACCCGGGCTCCAACACTCCACCCTCCTATGGGCTCATGCTCGCTTCCAAACTCCGCTCTTCACACGTCGCACGCAGCGCCACCAAGCTGCGAACCCTCCCACCATCCCAATGACCCATGGTCGTGTCAGGCCATCAAATTTTGCTCTCCATACATCCAGCACTAGTGAGGCATGCCCACGCTCGCATCCGGATATGCACCGACTCACCTAGACTCGCGCGCATCCATATTTTGCTCCTAGTTCGTTGGTCGAGTCAGGTCAACCCTGTAACCCCACAACTCTGGTCTTGGTCTGAATTTTCAACCCATTTATAAAATTGGGTTGGGTTTAGGTCAACCCTTTTGCACCAGGTCAATTTCAAGTTTGACCTGAACTCGACCCGAAAACCCATTATAACACCCCTAAGTCTAAGAAAGCATTATGCGATGCAAAGGTTTTATCTTTTAATGATTTATATAATATATTAGATACTGAGGAGGATGAAAGCTATATATATATATATATATATATATTTAGATTGTAAGGAGGGAGATATATATATATATATATATATATATATATAAGTTAACCAAACTAAACGATAGGAGTAGTAAGGATTTAGTTCAATAGAAGTGCATTATGGATGAAAATAAAAAAAAAATGTTTTTATTAGAAAAAATATTCAACAAAGGTGGATGAGATATTTTGCTAAACTTTTCAATGAAGATATATCATGAGAATATGATTGACTTTAGTGACCTTAGCACCCTAAATGAAAATAAAGATTTTTGTTATTATCTAAGTATTAGTAAAATTAAAGTTAGAGAGATTTTAAAGAAAATGAAGTGTGAAAAAGCTGTTGGACATGATGATAGAAAATGAAGTGTGGAAAAGCTGTTGGACATGATGATATTCCAATAGAGGTGTGGAGATGCTTAGGAGATGAAGGAATTTCTTGGCTTACTTAACTTTTAATATTATTTTCAAGGCTAAAAAGATGTCAGATGAGTGGAGAATGAATGTATTGATTCATATTTTTAAGAATAAAGGTGATACACAAGTTTGTGTGAATTATAGATGAATTAAATTATTGTGTCATACTTTAAAACTATGGGAGAGTTATGGAGCATAGGTTGTGGTGTGATACTAATGTTTCTCAAAATCAAATTGGATTCATGTCGGGTAGGTCTACTATTAAAGCTATACATTTATTGAGAGGTTTAATGGAGAATTATAAAGAGAATAAGGAGGGTCTACATATGATATTAATTGATTTACATAAAGCATAAGATAAAGTTTCAAGAGAAGTGTTATGGAGAGTGCTATAAAACAAAGGGTTTATAATGCTTATATTCAAGTAATTAAGGATATGTATGCAAAAGCTGTTTCTTGTGGTTAAACACAAGGTGGTTTGACAAAATATTTTCCTATTTCAGTTGGATTACATCAAGGATCGGCCTTAAGCCCTTATCTTTTTTCTTTAGCTATGGATGTTCTCATTAGACATTTGTAAGTGGTTGTACCCTGATGTATGCTTTTTGTTGGTGATATTGTTTTTGTTGATAAGACTGGAGAGGGAGTTGAGGTAAACTTGAATTATGGAGGTTAACCTTACAATCTAAAGGTTTTCGTTTGAGTTGATCTAAAACTAAATTTATGGAATGTAAGCTTAGTAGTAATAGATCTAATGAGGGGATTGTGATTTTGGGCGATCAAGCCATTAATAAGAGTACACGTTTTAGATATATTGTGTCTATTATTTTGAGTGATGGTGAAATATATGAGGATATTATTAGCAGAATTCAAGTTGGTTGGTTGAAGTAGAGGAATGCATAAGGCTTATTCTGTGATAGAAAAGTCTACTAAAACTTAAGGAAAATTTCTATAAGATGGTGGTGAGACCTACAATACTTTATGGGCAGAATGATGGCCCTTAAAACAAAAGTATAATATTAAGTTAAGTGTTATAGAGATGAGGATGCTCAGGTGGCTGAGTGGCTTTACTCTTAGTGACAAGATACGAAATGAGCATATACGTGAAAATTTTTTAGTAGCTCCAGTGGAAGATAAGATTAGGGGAGTCTTCTCAGATGGTTTGGTCACATAAAACAATGGCCTTTCGATGACCCGATTCGGAAAGTATATGTATTAGAATTGGCTTATGTTAAGAAAGGTAGAGGTAGACCTAAAAAGACATGGTTAGAAAATATTAGAAATGATCTTTCTTGATTAGATTTAAATGAGAATTTGATTATTAACATGACAATGGAGATAAGGGATTCATGTAAGGTACCCCACTATGTGGGATAAAGGCCTGATGTTGTTTTTGTTGTTGTATTTGTAGTTATACATCATCTTCAAATTCTATTAGTAATAATAACAAATCTCTATCTTAAAATAAACTTCTCTTTCTCTCTCTCTCTCTCATATTGAAATATCATTAAAAGATTCATATGACCAAATATGAATTTTATTGTAATTTTGACATTAGAAGTGTTTTATTGTAATTTTTATATTAGAATTTTTTGTTATTAATTTTTTTATTCTATCATGCATATACAATAAATCTAACAGATTGAAACTCAATTGATAATAATCTAAATTTTAATTGATTTGAAGTCTAAATTAGTATCCTTTGACTAAAAATAACTTATTCAAAATTAAATCCTTTAAGCAAAGCTAAGATCTTTAAGACTTATTATTTTCAATTTTTCATCAAGATCTTATGAAACAAATTTTGTGTATATGATAATTTCAAAGGTCTTTATCAATTAAACAACTTAATAAAATTTTAAATTAATAGCGTAATTAAAATAGCCCCCCTTGAAATCAATAGTTTTAGAAAGTATACGACTTGAGAAGGACAATTAAACCTCCACAACTAATTTTAGGATATTTTTAAATGTATAGAGCCAAAATTTCTAATATTTGTTACTTCTATTGAAGTGTCAACTCCATAGAAGGTTAAATTTATTATTCAAGCAATATGGATGTTCATGGAGCAATTATGTTTTTTTTTTTTTTTTATTATAAGTTTGTGTAATGAATTTTTCAAAGACTTAATATATATTTCCGGATGCCACAAAAATTAAAGTGCAAAAATAGAGGGCAAATTATTTATCATATGAAAATTCATCAAATCAAAATTAAATCTTGATGCAATCTTTGGATTAAAGCATATTGATTTAAATTCATGACCATTAAATTTTGATTTTAGCGAGCTCATAATCAAATTGGATGTCTTGATGAGACAAACCTGAACTAAAAGTGATATGGTTTGAGTTCAAATGAGTTCAAATCAAGCATTTAAAGCTTATAGATTTAAAATCATGGCCATTAATTTTAATTTTAGTGAGATCAAAATCAAATTGGATGTCTAGATGAGACAAACTCAAACTAAAAGTGGTCTGGTTGATCCCAAATAAGCCCAAATCAAGCAGTTAAAGTATGATTAAAAGTTTTATGATATTATTTGGATGACTAAATGATCTTTGAATTATTCGTGCATATAGTCAAAATGAGAGGCTCAACAAAAGAAATCCAACGAGTCCAATATCACTTAATTTAGAGGGCATTATGATACTGAAGTATTGAAAAAAAAAGTTCAAGATTAAGAAAATTAATGTGTCGTCATTTAGGATATTTAGGTCACCAAATAATTTCCATGCTTCTCCATCAGCTAGGTGTCGTAACATGTTATCCCTATTTCATTGTGTAGCATGTCAGTTTCATCTGCAATTTTTTTTTTTACTTTTAAATAATCTATGTAGTCAAGGAATCAAGGAAAAAATATCAAACAATTTTAGCAACCTTCGTTTTAGCCTTCTTTCCATATGCAA